CCTGTCTTAGTCTGACCTCTCCCCCTTGACCAATCTGGCTAGGGAGGCCCTACCAATAGCTATGCTGCCGCCAGCATAGCTCTTGGGATCACTGAGGTACTCAAGCCGCACCACCACGACAAGGTGCAGGTACCATTAAGTGGGGAGAGATATATTTACTATATAACAATATTAATATAAAAATACCTGTTAACGTAGAGCTTTTGAGAGGTAACCCACAGTAATTCTGACCAGCAAGTGATTAGTCAGGAACAAAAATTACTGGACGTGTTGCCCACTTAAGTACGTATATGGCGCCTTTTGTGTCAGCAAGCGTTGTTTATTATGGCAAGTGTTCACTGTGCATTCGTCTTATGTATTAAATCGCATGTTCCTGAGTATCAGCTGCAGTTTCTTTTCAGTTATTCGAACCCAATTGTCTACCTCTGCCTCAGCACTATCACTTTGCTACTTATGATTGGCGTGACTCTCGCCCCTTTTAACCTTCCTCAATACCAAGATGTAACTATTCCTTCTAAAGAATGATCCCCTTAACATTTGTTTTGTTTCCAGGATTTCCACTCATTTCCGTTCAATTCCTGGGAAGACCGAAGTATGTTACCTCAACTACAGTAATTTGCTGACAGTTTAGATTGATGGAAAATTGTAAAGGAACTGTTTCTGAATGTTTTGCGTCTTACTCTGAAGGATGCAGCCAATGAAGAATGGAGTTCAAACTGCGTTAGTTTTCTTACGTATTTTGGAAGAACTTAAAAATGATAAAAATGGGCAAATATGTATCATTTATCAAAAATGTTTATGCTCGTGTGTATGTTTCACTGGCAAATAACAAAACATCATTTATTGCATAGATTCAAATAAACTATTAATATTATAAGGTGAATTACAAAGGCACAATATTGAAAACTGGAGCCGAGATATCACTCGCCACATCGCGAACTCAACACTACGATCCATTAGGCATCAGGACTGGAGCTATGCAAGAGCAAGCCTGCAATACCAATAACCAAGGTCAAAAATTAGCAAGTAAATTCAGATATAGTGGAACTTTATTAATATTGACTTTAAAAGATAAACAACGATGTCTTATTAAGACATGATTATGAAAGTGTATTTTTGTTTAAAATGCAGGCTAGGCCTTGTATTTTTGTGTTACAATTTTACTTCTTGGGAGCTTAAGATGACGCCGTGCACGACGTATTTCATAAATCGTATTGTCGATGTGTGGGACCTAGTGCGGCCGTCCCGCAGAAAGGATGGCCCGGCATGTAAAAACAGACGAAAGTGTTAGCGACAAAGTTGAGTATCACACGTGTGAAATAGGGCAGAGGGCCATAAATAAAACTTAAAACGTAGCATCGCGCTGTTTGCGGTTTATTTGCTTAGTCAAAAGAAGATAAACCATTACTAAAGTTTTGTGAAATTCCAGTGTCGATTTAGCGCCCCGCTCGCCCGTGCGTGATGTCGGCCATGTTTCTTGCAGTCAGCTACCAAATGGTGAGTGATGGGTAGCGGTCGGTAAGTCCACACACCCTTTTCGCGTAACGCATGAGATTGAATGGAATAGCACGAAAATCCATGCAGCTTTTGGACGGCGAAGAAATAAGCTGAAAGGAAGCCCTGTTGTCGAAGTTGGTGTCCGTAAGAATATCGAAGGAGCAATTTCCAAGATGAACTCATGCCAACTGTTGGCGTTGTCAAACATTTTATTTTGAGGAATGAAATTTGGTTACAACTCATGTTTGTATAATCTGTGGTTACATCTGTCGCTAGGCCTGGTGACCACGATGTAGTTCAGGATTACCTATAGGTATTTGTTTCTGGCCCAGGAAGGGGAATAAGACAAACATCCAAAATGAAGATGGCTGTCTTCTGTGTTGTTGCTATTCTGTTTCCTTCTCTGCTTCGTAATCTCATAAATGCTCAATAACCATGCGCTGCTTCGTTAACCACCCCGTTCACCTGACCTGACGCCATGTGATTTCTTCTCATGGGGGTACGTTAAGGACCAGGTCTTTGTACCGCCTCTGGCACGAGATCTGCCTCAGCTGTGAAGACGAATCATCGCTGTCATCTCACAAATCAGCCGTGGCATGCTGCAGCGGGTGTGGGCGGATATGGATTGTCGGCTTAACTTCTGCCGCGTCACAAAGAGTGGACACATAAAGCATTTATGAGGTATGTAAAATAAACTTGGAGAGTTCCTCTTTCTATCGGCATGTCCTATGTTACCATCCATTGCACCATTCAAGTCTAGCGATATTTTGTAATGTGTCAGGGAATTATGAATAACGAATTTATGCAAGAAAATAATTATTTTGACGTAAATACGTCTCTACGGAAGGGACATTCCGCAAAAAAGCGTAACGAAGATGTGTAAGATCCATATCAAGAATGTGTAAATATGGACCTACAGCAATGGTCAGCTTGCGTGCATTGTTATGTTACCTAGGAAACGTCATGTCTTTACTCGGCATTGTTGTGTTACATTACTGCCGTCAACAATCCGCTTTCGTTATTGCGGAAAGAGCTGAGCTGTGAATCGCTTGTAGAAGAAGTGCGTCGTAGACTAGATAATTTTGACATTACATTTCCTTACATTTCCTTACATTACATTATATTATATTCAGCTACCTTCCTTTCCTTGTATTTATTGCTTAAATATAATTTAAATACAGAGACGTATTTACGTCAGATTCTCCGGAACCGTGGCTACACTGTCAATTTTTATTCTTATCGTAAATTACTAAGGCTTTCGTCTGACAAAACACTTTTTCGACTGGAAGTGAACAAATGTAACGGCGTAGAGGGTGGTATTCCTTCTAAGTACTTTGGAGGTTCAGTGTTCGAATCGCGACTGGTATACTGGCTATTTGTATTAAAATTCTTCATAGTTTTTTTTAGTTTTCCGGATGACTGTCCGGAAGAATCCCTTAAGCAGACCACAATTCTGTTCCCCCACGTCTTCTGTTATGTGAATAATGCCGAGAGATAGCTTCATTTAGATACACATTAATTAAGTAAGCGCGTAAACAAAGATCTAGATATAGGCCTAACTATCGAGTATTTTAAAAGTTATTTCGATTGTCAAATGGCATGTCTGATTCATTGTCAGTGTCCAATATGACAGAAGCTCGCATCTTTACGTGCAGTCACCTTCCTTGATCTGATACCGGTGACAAGTATGGTTAGGCTCGATGCACACGAGCGAGAAAATGTCGCGCGAGCTCGCAGCGAGGAAACCCGTGACAGTGCACACGTAGCGTCATCGCTGCGAGTTCGCCGAAAAACTCCCACCCGTACTAGATTGGATGGCAACCTAAATGGATGTGTACAGAAGAAAACGTGTAGTTTTGCCTATTTCGTTTATGAATACATCCTTAAAAAACGGAATAGGAAGTTTAAGGTTTACATGCGTCATGTTTGTGTTTTTGATTAAAATATATAATAAAATTCAGGTCAATACACAAAACTTTATTTGGATGTTAAAATTTAAAATTTAAATGTTAAAATTTTAAATTTTAAA